TGAATTTTACGTGGTAGCCCAGGATTGAAAATTGGCCTAGTTGGTAAAATAGAAACCATTGGCATGAACCGCTATGATGTTTGACATTTCAACACTCTTAATGGAGATGTTTTTCAATGGAACATATATTTACAACGAGTTATGTCTGTTTATCTGTGGTTTTGCATATTCTGAGGGCAGAAGTTCTAGGATTACCAGTGAGTTGGAATTAAAAGGCAAGTAAAAGTACTTAAAGTAATTAACGCATTTTAAACTACAAGTACAGAAAATGTAATTATGAATTTCTGTTTGTAATTAACGATATTTAGTGTGTAATTAAAATACTTAAAGGTTGTTGCATGTCTCTGAGCAACTTCTGTCTCATCGACTCTTGTCTTGACGATCGATTTTTATTAAGTTATTGCAAATATATCATAATAACAATATGATCCATTCATGTCTTTTCCATACATTACAATGGGCACCTGAAAAATTTTACTTCACGTACCATCTAGAGTTGAAAAAGGTCATTCAATACAATCGAGGGGCGCAAATATAGCGCTTATTACAAAAATAAAAGACACATTACTTAAACTTATTACATTTTGTATATTACATTAAACTTTGTCTGATGTGTCACTGTTATCATCTAATAGGTTTTTTTTTTTTTTTTTAATTAATTTATTTGTACAGGCTCAATCGAATAAACTTTACAGAGCCAAGTTATCATTTGCGTTATACTTAATTAATGTCTTACATCTAGAGTTAAAGGAATTGAACCGATTACTCAAGGTCGTCTCGAGGTTAGTGGAGACTTACAGTTTTATGGATGGGGAGAGGGAGAAGGAGGTTTGAAATATGATTTACGATACAAATATTTTATTATTTCTAAAACATGAACTTATTCCTATTCAACTTGATATCATAAACTCCAGATCGCGTCTAGCCAAAATATCCCGAACTGGAACATTTGGTTTGGAAAGATGTTTTTCACCAGCACCTTCAGCCGCTCTTTCCGACCTCCTGGCCCAAGGCGCGCAACGATGAGGCCATCTTGTCATTGGTCTTCTTCTTCAGCTTCTGCTGCACTTTACGGTCCCGCAGTACCGTCGGGAGGCCCGAAACAGGCTTCCGTTCGACGCTCTAGCCTAAATGCCGGATCGGCTATATCCGGTGGACACGAAGTGCCTCACGACGTCCAACTGCTTCGCTCCGGGGTGGAGCTGGAAGTACGAACAAACCAGCTAGCGTAGCTGCTTGACTGTTTTCGCCATGGCTCTCGAAAATCAACTGATAACGCTGTATTTTTTTCTGTACACAACAGGGTTGCTATGATTGACGATTCTCTACCAGGTGGTAGGGTAATTGCATGATCGCTAAAATCAGTACTTATTTTTTAATGCATACGTTATGTGCAAGAGTGGATCATATTTTTAATATAATATATTTGGTTATTGATCAAAAATATACATTATTTTTAAGTGCATTCATTAGTCCGGTGAATCATTTTTTATCATAAACTTTATATGAAAATATGCATTTACCACTAAGAAAATGATTTGACATCTTCTCAAAAAAGCATCCTTATTTTTTTTTATTGAAGGATGTTACCATTAAACTTAATGCAATATATGTTGCATACATGTTGCAGTAATCCATGCATTATGTATGTTGGTAGAATATATTTAGGTTGCATTTAATACACATATATAAAGTTCCACTTTGCATAACTTCTGTTTTACGTAACTCAACGTATTGCAAGAGTAAATGATTAATGTTGAGTCAAAATATTTTCTTCTTTATAGCGGCGCCGGTAGTGCAGTGTTAAGTGATTACCTCTCACCCCAGCAGGCCTGGGTTCAATCCCAGTCGGCGCCGCCGGGATGTTCAGAGGCATAACATCTCTGATCACGCCTTCTTTCGGAAGGGAATTAAAGCCGTTGGTCCCCGGTTCATGAGTTGATGGGTCGATACTTGATAGGTAGGCTGCCTCCCTGGCGTCGGTAGCATTGGTACTCAGTACGGAAAACAAGATCGACGGAAAACAAATCAAGGAAAAAATCTACTTTATGAAACGATACTAGGGTGGTGAGTTATGTTGCGAAAATGGTGAAAAAAATCTACTGCCTACAGGTGGGAATGGAACTCACACCTCCCAGTACGTTCTACAGGCGCTCTACCACTATGCTACCGTAGACTTAATGCTACCCCCATCAATCTTACGAAGCACTGGTGTGATAGAAACGGTCCAACTCCAGACGTGATTCATCATTCTCGCATAACACTCAAACCACCACATGTTCTGTTATGTGCCTACCAGTATCGGAGTGAGAGAGTTTTGATGACTGTTGTTTACCACTACGTTCGCATGTTTGACAGCGGGGTTAGCTGCTCGGCCTGAGACAAGTGGCGGCTCACTCTTGTCCCCACACACTCATGGGACAACTCACAACAGCAAATTCAAATTCCAACGGCTGTTTAGATCTAACCAAGCTCAGAATATTATTCAATAAAAACACTAAATTGTGATTGAAAATTATTCTGTTTTGTCACAGATCAAGAAGTTAACAATGCAGCAAGTTGATTCGTATATCATATGTTGAGAATGCTTTTATTTTTGCCTATGAAAACTCTAACCATCAAACAAATCTTACATCGATAAACACTGAAATGAGCTATCATTTATATATTTTATGTGTGATCTAAAATGGTAAATTTTCAACTTATAACATCATAAAAATCCTAAATACTACCTGTCGATACATCAAAAATTTGGTCAAAATGTCTTTCCATGCGAAATATCATGGTGGTGCGTATTACCCAGCTGTCCATTTCTCCATTTGATTTCTTAGTCGATGATCAGTATTACAACCAGGGGAGCCAGATTTGAAGACACGTCTTCATTTTTAAGACATTTAAAATTCTGTGTTGATATTTTTTCCGCAGTTGAAGAAGACGTCCGAAGGCTCTTGGAATTTTTAGCAGATATATGATCTAGCAAATTTTTGCTATAGAAATGAACATTTTGATTTTATATTGTAAGCTTGAACATGTTGAATATGAATATTGTAATTAAAATCAGTTTTATTTTCAGAATAATTCTTGGCCGACACGACTATCCACAGGGCTTCGATTAGTTGGAGATCTTTTGAATAATTCTTGGTCAACTTACCAGAGTATCTGAGAGACACCATTTGAGTTTTTTCAGGATAGTTGAAGATCTTCAGATCTTCATCTTGATCAACCTGTCATCTTGATAAATTAACCAGAGACCTTTATTGAAATTTATGATCAGCTGGAGATCTTTAAAATATTTTTTACGTAGGACTACCTTTGTGATTTCTATATGGAGGTACACTTTGTGAAAACCGAAAACGGCACGTGTAGCAAAATTATGAAATATTTTGAACTATAATATCTCAGCTGCCCCTGGACCAATTTCAATAATTTTATTACCAATGGATCAGAAATATTTCTACGCATCTTTAAAATAAAAGACTTTATCATTTTTCGAAATGTCACTATTGAAAATTGCACGAATGCGCAATTGTTGCTATGATAATTATAATTATCACCGATTGCCTGCGAAAAACGATTTCCCTAACACAGATTTCAAAGATGAATTTCATCCGGTCTCACCAAACGGTGTTTTTCCAATCACCACCGGCATGGTAAGTGGTAGTGTTCTCCAGTACACAATGAAAGGCTGTCTGCAAGCATACATGAGCATCCATAGAAGGAGGAAGAAGCCGCACCGCTATTGATCGGAATCAGTAGCTCTTCGTGAGTCGCTGTGGGCCATCTATGTCAAGCGCGTCATACTAAAGAGTATAAACAGAGAGAACCCCACTCAAATTCCTATTCCTACACAATACACAAGCTCCTGCTGCAGTTATCAAATAAGGGGGTTAGAAGGTAAGAGGTGTAAGTGACTTTGATCAATTCTCTTAATCGACTTTCTCTTCCCCTTTTCTTCTAACCCTCCCAAATAAGATTTATTATATAAGACCACGTAGTCCTACATCACCATCCTTTGTAGTTTTTAAAATAGTTAATTGGTCTACGATTGAATGACGAAAAATGAATAAATTTATTTGAAAGGCTAGATTAGATTTACAGAATCTTTCTAATAATTCACATGATATTATCTGTTCAACCATAAATCTTGGGAGAATATTTTGAGACGTATTTTTTAACATTTCAAGGCCTTCAGAGTAATATTTGAGTCTTGAAAATTTATTCAGAGGACTTCATTGAACTCTTCGAATAGCTTTTAAATACTTCCTGATCAACCAGCCATCTCGGTAGAATATCTAATAGACGGCATATTATATATGATATTTTTTCCACAGTTGCCGATCATCAGAATAATACTTGAACAAACGAAAGTCTTGAAAAATATGCAGAGGACTTAAATGATATTTTAGAGTCAGTTATATAAATCTGATATATTGAACACCTTCCCCGCCCATAAGTAGTGGTTAAGATATGTGATGAAATTTCTTCGATCCCGTTGAAGATTTTATACATCCAGCTCACAACTACTACCAATTCATTCACTTCTACAAGACACAGCGTTGCACGGGCTACCACCGTATTTCAATCAAGCCGTTCATGGACTTTCCGACGGGAAGGAATACTTCCTAAAAGCCAAATAGCTGCTCGCATCCCTCAGTTAGTTTCCATAATTAATGAACTCGCTTCTCCTGCTGCACTGACAAAGCTTTACATCGATAATGCGAGTGAATAATGGATGATTCTGTGAGGCTGCTGGTAAGTCCGTTAGTCTGGATCAGGATGACCAGAGGCAACATAAATTTGGTTCCACACGTGCATGCTTGCCCAACGACCGCAGATGAAACGGGATAATGTTTGAGTAGTTCGAATGTCGATGCTCATTATTCATGGGGATTCGATGAAAACAGATGCAAATTGCAAATGTTATCGGCATTAGTACGCCCTCTTTCTAAGCAAATTTGCATATTTACATAGTCGTGCGGTACAATTGGCAAACAGTTGTTTCCGCGATGAGGAAGTGGACGGTTTTGACTATAGTTACCGCAGCTGGCTTTCTAAGCCTGGCGCAGCAAATCAAATGCAGATCACCAACGCGCTACATGATTCCAGAGTTCAAAGTTTGTTGCTCATAGAATTCGTTTGATACAATCGTATCTAATTTTTTCTAAAATTCATCCCCCCTCAGGCAAACTGGTTCAAAGCCACGGAGTATTGCTTCTCGCTCGGAATGCAGCTGGCTGTAACGAACTCCAAGCAGCACCACGACAGGATTGTTGAGGTGGTCAAATCTTCACCGATATACAAAGAGGAAGATACGGTAGTGCTCCTCGGTGACAATGATCTCGGAGAGGAAGGCGTTTTCTATTGGCATTCAACGGGAGTTAGACTGACTTATGCTCACTGGCAGACTGGTCAGCCGGACAATTGGAAAGGAATGGAAGATTGCGTTGCTTTGGTGAATATTCCGGCCTCCGGGTGGAACTGGGTCGCCAACGATGGAAGCTGCGAATCGATTCATTACTTTGTTTGCGAGAATGTTGAATCGATTCACGATGTCGGAGTCTTCTGAGTGTAACAGTTTTCGTAATCAGTCGGGAACGTTCAATTTTCAAGATAGGTATTATAATTCAAGATAGACAATTCTTTGAAGTTACTTTTCTGTCCCCAACAGTGTGGTGAAAATTATGTTACTTGTTCATAAGCGCATATGAATTTCAAAGTACCCCATCAGCTCACTCGGAAACCACGTATGACAATATCAATTTCCGCTTTTATGATCCTAATCTTTGAGGCATCATTTCCGTATCCAGTTGGCTCGCAAGTCCTAGACTGTATCGCGTTGTCGTCGTCGTCGCCATCTTCTGAGCTCACATGTGGGAAAGACAGTGGAAGGGAACGAGCAACATGTTGCTCTCTTAGTGTTTGTACTGGATTTCATGAGTCGCTGCTGCTCTTATGACGACGGACGGTCTGGTAGTGCTGCACATAGACACATCATATCTTCCACCTTCCAACATAAGAGATGGTGGTAATATTTGCATTAGATACTTACTGTTAGACGGTAAGATATTCAGCTGAAGTAACTCTTATTTGTGCCTCGTTGAGTTAGTTCACATTGGCAACCATTTTATACGTCCAACCACCTTAACTAAAATGTCGCATGTCCAGCAATTTAGAATTCCATAACCGATAAAGCACATCAAATTTTCTCTTGGGTACCCACACCCATTCTGGAATCAGAGCGACCAGACATAACCGACGCCATTGCTTCGGAAATTGCTCATTTTATTAGCCATTTGCTGTGTCCATTAAATTTTCCGTTGACCGACGCGATCTTCCGCGTGCAATTGATGCTACATTCGCAACCAATTAAATTATCCGGCTGAAATTTTATACAGTCATTACGGTCAATTTTATTACACGCACACCCTGCGACAGCCAGCTTCTCTATTTCCGGGGATGATTCGTGCTACCAAGATCACCGAATATCATTAAATTTTATGTATTCGCTAGCTGGAAGCCGGCGGGAGGAAATCATCCCTTCTGGAAAGGACCCCGCCGAGGGTATTACATTCTTAAATTTATTCCGTTTTGTGGTTTTACGGTTTCTTCGCGTGCAACATAGGGTCTGATTTTCTGTATTGCACAGCAAGTGGTGCTGAGAGGCGGAAGTTGTGGTGAAAAAGTTTCCCTTCCGATTCTTTTGCTTTCGGAGTTGCTTATTCTGACGTCGTCGGCTGGCGATTGGGAATGGGTGACTCTGCTGGGAAACTTTTTAAATGTCTTAGAGCAACAGGTTTGTATTATTGGCTTTCCTTCCCGTCACTGTTGTTGCAATAATTCCGTCTGGAAAGACTAGGTTGTTAAGATACTGGCAGGTGGCATCTTAAATTTATGTTACAATTCTCCGTTGAAGAGTTTTGCATTTGATCTATGGGGTCCAGAAAACAGTTTTGAAAAAAGTTATAACGCATGCATATTAATGTAGGTTCTAGAACTCCGAGAACTTGATAAAACAATTCCGTACCTGCAGAAAGTGATGAAACTTTATGAACACTCATACTCAGGAGTTGAAAAGGTTGACGTTTTTTACTACACTCGCTTCGTTGTCGTGCGCGACAGTCTGTTTGTATTCGTACTCTTATGCTCTACCGTCGTCTCTCTCGTCGTTAGAACAACGTTCGAGCAAAAAGAAAATTATCAAATAACTATCATATGATATGTGAGCTTGCGTTCAAAGTCCTCAATTTGGTGTAAATTAATCCATTTCTGATCAGAAATGTTATTACTAGAACATCGCTGCTTGCTATTTTCAGAATTCACACAAGCACAACATCAGCAGCTCTGATTATTAAACATACTAAAATATATACATTCGTGACGGCACAGTGTCCATATGACAGCCTGTCATATGACATTTTAGTGTCGGAAGTAAAGGCAGTTGATTATCACAGAAAATGCGTCGACTACGATGACCGCTTAAAAGACTACTCATACTTCGAGGTCAGACAATCCCAGGAGTTCCTGGAGTCTTTGGTTTCTTTAGTAGTTCCTGAAGTTCCATCATTGTTTTATATTTTGTTTCTAGAGTTCTGAAAATACTTTTGGAAGCCTTCTGGGAAATCTCGATTCTTTTAGATTTACTGATGAAGAGAATTTACTGCCCTTGATAAACTTCCAAACTTGTGCTACTCTGTTTACTTGCACAGCTTCCGATACTCTAAAAGAATCAGAAGATTCGGGATGCTATTTATTTTTCTTTAGTTTTTTTTCTATTTCTGTGCTTTTTAAAATTTTACAAGAACCTTGGAACTCTTCACAGAATTTTGTTATTTTTTATCAAATTTTCTTCTAAGAATCTTTTCTATGCAGTTCATTTGGCGACTGTAGACTCGCTCTGTTAATTCCTTCATTTTCTTGATAATACTGTGGCAATTATATACAAGAAACTCTTGCAATTCACTACTAAATTCTTTTCAAATTTCTGAACAATATTGTCAGTCAGTTCCTCGAAGACTTTCAAAATCGAGACTCATAATCGTTAAAAGTCCGATGTGATAGTTTTAAGAGGTCATACAGTTCCGGGAACTCTCGCAGTTCTCGGAGTGCCAAGAGTTTCAGCCAGCCCCAGACAACCAGAAGTCGCATAACAATGTACAGAGAGTATCGTAAATAACTACAGTTTAAGTCAACATCGCATATAAGTATGAAATACATCGCATTGTGTTTAAGTTAAATCGTATAGAATGCAAATTTGCGACTTATATACGATGAATCATTTTTCCATCGTATTGTACCACAAATTAAATCGGATTACATCGTAAGACTTTTCAAAATGAATTTGTTATGACAGATTAAACCGTATATGATGCCAAATCAACTCGTTTAATAAGAAATTAAAATTTGCACGTATATGGCCTCCACTTTTGTAGGTATAAGCCCTTTTTTGCATTCTATACGATTTGATTGTTTGTATATATGTTTGTAAATCACAGAAACAACTTTGATTATACGTGCATTCTGGTTGTCTGGGGCAAGTTAAGGCTGTTCCGAAGTATCAGTGGATCTTGCAGGAATAATGGGAGTTATTCTCTAAATTCTTAACGTTCCCGTAGTTCTGATAATTCGGAATGATATATTTAGTGAAATTTCCAATGAGAATTGTCAATGACGACGACTGGACCCATCAATCCTAACGGGTTGAACAGGCGAGCTGCTTCTGCGAGAACGACGCGTTTCGTGAGCACTGCTTCGCTGTCCCACTTAGGAGAATGGTTTCGGAAATTGTCTGCATGCGGCTCCCACAGTAACCTCAAAGTTTTCACTGGTGAAGTTGAGGAATCAAGCTCTAACGTAGCACGATCATCGAAGATATCGGATGGCAATCTGGCTAACAATTCCTTGCAGTTGGACTTACACTTTCGCAGGTTGAATCCACCTGATGAAGTTAGCGTGATCATTTCCTTTGCCAGCTGGTTCGCTCCAGTCAGCATGTCATCGACGTAAAAATCTTCCTTCAACACCTTAGCTGCGCGAGGATAAGCGAGAGCTCCTTCTTCTGCCAGCCGCTGTAAGCACTTTGTCGCCAAGTATGGTGCAGATGCAGTCCCGTAAGTGACAGTTTCTAACTCGTACGATTGGATCGGTTCGTCAGGGGAATCTCGATAGACGATTCGCTGTAGATAGATGATCGAGTAGATAGATTAGTATCATCCGATACATTTTTTCCACATCCGCAACAATGGCAATGCTGAACAAACGGAATCGAAAAAAAAAATCGAATCGAATTATTCATCGCGGCTTCGAAGGAATTCTCGAACTTTTCCCTCAATACCACCAATCGAGTGGAGCAGAACGGTCTCGTCCACTGTTTTGGCGATTTTATCCTACAAATTTTGACGTAAAACTATGTCTTTGTCGACTATACTGGGGTGCAAATCAAAAAATATGTGTGGTGAAGGAGTGTTAGGTGTTTGTCATTTATAGATGAAATTAAAATCCAAATACGCCAATCGATACGATATTACATTACAAACCTGTTGAAATAAATATTTATCCAATTTTTCTGTAATTAAACTTTTGAAAATGTACAAATGATAATTTAATCACTGATTTCATGAAATAAGCCTTTTTCCCAAACCCAGTCATCATAAACGAATACCACTTGGTTGCACATCATTCTGCTTGAACCTGAAAAGATATAAATCAGCGCTGCTCTCATGCCTCTGCTCATTACCGCTTCGGACGGCGTGGCACTAGGTCCTGCATCAAGCAGGACTAGGTCAGCGGCTAAAGGTGGATTACGGCGTGTCCACCACAATGAGGAATGAGACTTGAAAAAACGTGCATGTAAAACCCCCTCCCGCTTAACAACCCCCTCCCCCTTAACAATAATCCAAAAAAGACATGGACTTTGACGATCATTTTTTTTTTTCGGGAAATAAATTTTAAGCAAACCCTAATAATGTATGAACAAGCCAACATTTTCAAAAAAATATTGCTTAATAGGAGACATACACTCGATGCATTACCAACAACTGACTGTAAAACATATCTGTGCCTCTATTAATGCAATTATATTAACATTCAGTAGTAGTAAAATTATGTTTATTTCTGTTGATTATGGTAGTACATTGAATATCATTTTAATTGATTAGCCTACTTGGCTCTTCATCTTTGTTTAATTTGATATTCTAATTTAATATTTGCGTTTTCAACTACCGTTCCGATTCAAATTTCGGACGATTCAAATTTCGGACACTTTCATTTTTAATTAAATATTACATCCAGTTAGAAACAAAGTAATAATGTTAGATGATCGTGGAGGGCACTAGTCAAAAAAATTTAAAATTTACAAGACATGTGGATCATATTCGACCGAGATAATCAACTTTTAAAAGTGTCCGAAATTCGAGTTTAAGTGTCCGAAATTTGAATCGGCACGGTAGTTTACAGAATATCCCTTGGGGATGTGTTTTATTTGAATTGAAAAAGTGATAACCTACCTAACTACGAGTATAACTTAGCCTAACGTGTTAGATCACGTATGATCTGATGATTTGATCTCAGACAGGTGTCTCTGAAC